GTCAAAGAGGTTTCTAGGTCAAATGAATTTTCTGAGCGTGCTTTGTTCCAAGTCTATTCCAGGGTCTGAAGTAATAGCTGTAATTGAACCTGCTTTGTGTTGTGTGTGTAGAATGTGGATAGAGGGAGAAGTGGCTCATTTGTAGTATAAACTCTCTCTTATTGCAAAACCAAAATGTGCACATATTTCACCAATGACAGTCCAACAGTGACCATTGTGGAGCTGGCAGTTTGTTTACCATAATTTTATTAGGAATATATTTTGTTGTTTTATTTGTGTTTGCATCATTAGTTGAAAAACATGATAACAAAATGATAATGAGCAAAGACCATGGTTTAATATTGAACATTTCACCTGTTAGGGTTATCTGATGGAATAAACTTGATATTAAAAGTTGTGGCTGTGTGTCAATTTGAAAACCAGTAAGCATTTTCAATTTACATTATTACCACTAGTAAAAGTCACAACTAGGTTATGTCTTAAGGCAATCCTGCATCTCAACTTTAATGACTATTTTGCCCTTTACATTTAAGTATATAATAGAAAATAATGAGGTGTATGGAGGATTGGAGCCCTGACATTTGAAGCATTATATTTCCCCATGGGCAAGCGCTTAATATTACAACTAATTTTCAAAAATAAAGATCAGGTGGACATTTACTACTGTTTACTTTGCCGTTTATTCTTTCATCCTATTACAAAGCATGCAAAATGCAAATTCAATTAAATGAATACACACTATACTTTCAACATTTATTCATCGGTTTTGCTGTCTCAAAATGGAATAGTTCAGTTAAAATGTGTAACACATGCTATATATGTGAAAATGCAATAGTTCTGAAACTGACTGGCACACTAGTTTTGCTTTTAGATCAAATGCAGATCTGTGGAGAAGAGAGCCCAAGAATATTTATCTCAAGGCTTTTTTAGCCCTCAAGAAGACCTTTAATTGAATAAGATATATAAGTTTGATGCCATATTTGTTAAAGAATCACTGGTCGGACCCAAATATGCAGTAAAAGTATTAACAAAAATAGTCGTGGACAGGGGGATAGATTCCAGGGGAGATAGGACGGGTCCAGGTTGGCTGAAGTGCAATGATGAAGAGGCTGACCAGAGGCTTGCGGAACAGGTGGTAACGGGATGAGGCTGGCTCCAAAACGGTTGAACTGGGGAACAGACAAAAGTAAACAGATAAGAGTCAAAAAACCTTCAAAATGCTCAAAAACACAAAAAGCCTGAGTAGTTCACCACTTGGTTGACAGAACGATCTGGCACTGGGGAGCAGGTCAGCAGGTCTTTTATTGCCGGAGATGATTACTGACGAGAATCAGGAGTGGAGCTCAGCAGGTGCATGATTGGGGCCCGCCCAGGAAATGCCAAACAAGGTAAGTAAATACAGAGAGGGAGCAGGGAAAGGAGGGGTAGGAGGAGCAGGGAGAACCCTCACAATATTGTGGAACATAACCAGACAAAGCAATAACATCTCCATGAAGTATCCTCTACCAGAAAAGCTACATAGTGCACCTTTAAAATAAAGCTTCTTAAACACAGTTTCTTTTTGATAAATCCCTTAAAACGAATTATGTTCTGAGAAATTCCATGAATACTAATGATTTTTTTACTTGGTAAGCCCCCTCGCTAAAGCCCTTTCTGGAATACTCCTCATCACTTGATAGGATTAAACTTGTGAATTTAGCAGTTCTGAGAAAAGTGCAATGACTGCATTAATCTACACGTTCACACTATTTTAAAGCCTCTAATATCAATCGAGTGCAAAGGAGTGGCATGGGAACCTCTTTAGCACGTCCAATAAAAATGTACACTTAGTGACAGTAAAAGCAATTACATAAATCTGTCATGTGAAATCCAATGTGATGAGTGGATTCAAATGGAGACTCTAAAGTGCACACAGTTTGATTCATTTATCAATGGAGCTGAGAGAAAATATCAATGATTATGCAAATGTACTTCTGTACTTTGTCACTTATGTTTAACTCATTTTGTAAGTACAGGAATTAACACATAAACTTGACAAGCCTCTTCACAGATCTGACCTGTGACCCCGCCACCACCAGAAAAATGGCATATAGTGCACTTTTAAACAGAATTTTAAATGCTGAATAAGCACTTATTTTGTCAGTGGTTAATGGTAACTATCATAATTAAAAGGGCTTGAGTGTTTCGTCAAGATAATCATATAAATTAATTGATATTATGTTTAAAAAATGCAAGAGGGATGGGTGAACAATGCTGTGCTAGGCAGTTTTCAGTTCTTTGGGCTTCCAGCAAATGCCAGGAAACACATTACTCTAATTCTTCTTCATATATAATCAAATTTCTATAAAGCCTATCACCAACTTTTTCCAAAGTTATCCACATAAACACAGAAAAATAATACAGCATTAAAAGTATGAGTTAATAACCTTAAGAGCAATAAAGCCATCCACATCTCATTATTGGTTGGAATATACAAAGTGTGTGAGGATGTGTTGGCTCTGTGGCCCCCTTTGGTGAAGCACTCTGCACTAATGAGGAGGTGTCATGTTAGCCTGACCAGTGATAGATGGAGCAAACACAACCTTGGGATACATCTTTGGCATAGCTCCTTCCTTATGAGTGGCAAAAAGAGGTAGTGAAGAAAGAGGGGTGCATATAAGTGAAAGAAGGGAGAGAAGAGAGAGAAAAAAGAGGAAAAATGGGGGTGAGAAAGAGAGGAAGGGAGGTAGGGTAAAGACAAAGAAAGAGAATAAAGATAAAGGGAGAAAAGTCGAGAGGGTAAAGAGAAACAGGGGAATAAATAGAGACATGAGAGAGACATAGACAGAGGAGATAGTATAGAGAGAAACAGGACAAAAGTGAAATTGGGAGAGAAATAGAAAGGTAAAAAAGACAGATATGAAAGGGATAAGGAGAGAGCAGAGAAAACAATAGAGGAGAATAGAGGAGAGAGAGATGTGGTTGATGCCATGGTGTCCAGGCAAAGCACAATCTGGATAAGCTCCTCACTGTCAATGGAGCCAAAGCCTGTGTCAACAATTTCACGATGGCATCTGAATATACTTTGTCATTTACAACATGAGGAGAATCAAAAGAAGTAATAAAAATAGATTCAATATAAAGCAAAATGTTTGTTTATACTTATGAATATGAACATGTTTCATCTGCAAAATACACCAGAAAGTAAAAGTATTCTAAATAAAATGTTATATGAAATTTACTGCATTCATTTGTTTTCATTCTACCGGTAGTCTTCTTTGTGTCTAGCAGGAAAAGATGCTGTTACTTTTGGATGGTATTCTACTTTAAAGCGTTGAGAGACTAATAAACTGTGTTATAGATATACAACTAATGCAGTGGTCTTTTGTGGTTCGAGGCTTTTTCCCATGTACCCTACCCGAGCCTGGAACATCCTAATTAGATTTCCAGCTCCGTAACTGACTGCTGGTCTTAAACTCAAATCCCTGTGAAACTTTGGATTTGGTCTGTTCACTCCTCTGCAGAATTTCAGAGCAAAGACTGGCATTGTTTCTCAAACTCAAACTTAGTAAAGTAATAAAGAGTGCATAATATTTGCTTATCAACCTTGACCACCCACTGACAATAAGGCTGGAGATGAGGACTGATACGAAAAGAAAGTCTTGCTACACAGATCTGCTTGTGAACTCTGAAAAATTATAAAGTTATTGTTATTGGTACATGGCAGACTTTTATATTTGATGTTTCCACTATTAATAACTTTAGTGCCATGATGACATTTCAGACAATTCCAGCAATGACATCCTCGTAGAGATAAGCATGTGGCAGAGTTACGAGTCAGGTCTGTGGAGAGGTAAGCCTGCCCCTAATTGAAATAAATGCTTTTATTTTAACCTAGAAATATGGAAGTTGTAATAGGGCAACCTTACATTTTGTGTTTTACTGATAGAAGCACCCGCTATGATTGACTGTAGTGTATCATTTGGCCATGTGCCACATTAATCGCAGTGTAATGGGAAGACAGGCCTATTGACCTGTAGTCCAATAAGACAGAGGGCCAGCAGACACAAATCAAAGCTGTCCACTGCATATTGACCAGGCTGTCCACACTGAGAGATTCATGTGTGATGTGAGAGAAAGATGGGCCAGGAAGGGGCTGCCCTGGTCACAAGAATGACTGCCCAGATAAAGAAATGTGAGTAAGATGTGCGCTTATTAGGCTAAACATGAACTCAAGATAATGTAATTGGATTGGTCTACATTAATGAAATAATATCTAGGTCTGTTTTGTAGTTTATTTTTGGATAGACACTAAGCCTTACATAAAAATACAAAAACTAGTCATTTACTTCCATAACAACAGCAATAATTCTGCCAAGCTATGACGGTATGTTGTGAGTATTTGGTTTTTTTTTCACAGTAACTCAAGAAGAACACTATTACATTCAACTCTAAAACTACTGTCTACTGATGTAGTGAGAAAAATCACAACCCAACCGCCACAGGATGCTGCACACAAAGGACATGAATGCTGAACGTGACTGACCCCTTGTGGTCAATAAAGACACTTCTATAATGCAAAAAGGAGTATTAGAGTTCTGGTTAGTGAGAGCTTACAGTAGGGCAATATATTTTATAAACATTAATTAAAACTTCTATTTTTATAAACTTTATTCTATTCTGTCTAGCCATACCCCCTTAATTTAGCCATCCACGGCATATTCTTTTACACAGCCAGACGTTTTAGTAGGCCAGGATTTGTAGAATAGCGGCTTGAAACCCTTTTACGCGTATGCCACCCTGACAGTTCTTATTGAATTTAGGCTACACTGAGTGACATTTTACTGATGCAGTGCTATTAATTTTCACAATGATTTGCACAATTACAGTTGGCCACCAGAGTATGGAATACCCTATTATTTCTCACGGTGTGGTGAGGAAGGCGGGGGTGGTGCTGCCTGAGCGCGTGGAGGAACCTATGGGCGCGGGGGGCGTCGTTGCCATGAGACCTGTCAGACGATCAGCAGCAGCGACATACACGGCAGAGCAATAGTAAGCATTTTTTGTTCAGCCTTGTTTTTGCATTGTACATTTCGTTTTGTGTGACTAAATACGTGACAAGACCAGTGCTACAGATATTAGACAATGACAACAGGCTAATAGTATTCAGTGCGTCAGTAAATAGGCTACAACGCCACATCTCCAGGATAATGCATTTTCTGTCGGTGCGCTAAGGTTCCCTTAAGGATAGTTTCGGGACCATTCAGTGTACAGATGTAATTGCCACGTTACGACGGATGGGCTTCTCTATAAACACTTAATTCACAGCATCTGTCAATAATCAGACCTGTGTGTACAATTCTTAAAAGCTCATGATGGTTAATGTTGATCCGATTTTAAAATAGATAATCTATAGACTGCAACGACTGAACAAGGGGCTGATTAGCCTTTAATTGAAAACTGACACCAGATATTTTACACATGTAAGGCCAGTACATCACACACATAAACACCAGGGAATTTTATATGCAATAAATAGGATAAACAAAACTGAGTAGTATATTTGATTCTAAATGTATTTAATATGTGTTCTCTTTATGCTGTTTTGCATAGGAAACAATGGTTTGATGCTCATATAAAACCTCGATGACCCTTTACACTGTGAAGATGCTACTTAAGTGTCAGTGTAAATACATGAGAGAAGACTACTCATTTCCATCTACTACTGCTGCCTTAGCCGTGAGAATGTTTGTGTGACTCATGAGTTGTTAAAAAAAAAAATGAAAATGATTCTCAGTGTCAGCTGTTGTGTGTAGGTGTGAAGCCTGAGGTGTAGCCATGGGCTGTGGGGGGAGCAGGACGGACGCCCTGGAGCCCCGGTACCTGGAGAGTTGGACCAAGGAGACGGAGTCAACATGGCTGACTGGCACTGACACGGACATCCCCCTGTCCTCCATTCAGAGCATCCCCTCTGAGAACTCTGAGGCGGGCTTCTCTTCGGAGAAAACCATCAGTCCAGGTATGAAAGTAGGATTTCATCTGTCCAATAGCATGGAGTAGCATGCTACTAGTTCTGTAAGCAATAACATTGCATTAGTTAGTGCTGTAGTAGTGATTCTTAACTTATATCAAGTGCACTGTAATCAGGTATAATAATATCAACACTTGGTGAAGTGATTTAGTTAATTTCCTCTTGACATTTTATGGTTGTGTGATTCTTTATGGTAATTTTTAATGCACAAATCCTGTGGGTGTTCCTGACCTGCAGTGCTCAAGTGCTCCCTCAGTAATAGGCAAGTGGATATTGTGTTTTACCTAATTAATTGAAGTCCGCTTTCTGTTCATGCCTGGAACTTTCTGTAATGAGTGCTAGAATCTAAAAAAGGCAAAAACAAAACAGGAAAAACTATGTTCTTATACACTTGACATACTCAGAGTAGAGCATATATTATAAGAGGTAGTTTGTTACTCTCACATACAAGTAGGCTTATTTACATGAAGTTGTCCTTGTCTCTATAAGGTGCAGTGCTGAATGTGACTAAGGTTTCTTTGAAGCTTTGAGGAGATGAATCAGTAAAAAGCTACTTCAAAAGCCACTGCTCTCAAAGGGATTCGGCTCTCATGGCAACAGATCCAGCTGTTAGTTAATGCAGAAGAGATCTGATGATACATTTACCTAGAATCTTTCAAGATCGATGAAACAGACGCACAGGAGGCCAAAATGAAACACCCACAACTAACGCAATTGTTTTTACACTACAAGTACAAGTACGTACAAGTACATGTCTAGTGGCACACTAGAGTCAGGTTGTGCAATAATTAATGTAATAATTTAATTGTACAAATATGTTACAGGATGTTTTTTTGAAAATATATGTAGGCCTAAAGTAAAAAAAACAAACAAAAACAACTGTGATTTTCTTGTACATTGCGTTTCTGGGTGCACAAACAGAGCCTGAATAGATCTAATTTCATGGGTCACCAAACTGCTCCCTGACATTTGAGTGACAGCCACTCATTAACCACCCAGATGCAGGGCAATCCCACTGTCGCCTGACAGCCCATAACAGGGATTTGAAGAGCAGTTTAATACATGACATACCTTCATTTAGGATTCATTTTATTTTGAGATTTTATTTCATAGTCACATGGTTTGTTTCAGTTCCAGATTTTTTTGAAGACGGCCTCCCTCCTCCAGCTCAGGCGTACCTAAAGGTTTGCTCCGCTGTGTCTGAAGCCAGTTTGAATGATGTGAAGCCCAGCAGTCCTTCTACCATTCTGTCCTCTCCACAGCAGGAGGTATCGCCCCCTTCATCAGGCACCACAGTGCAGCGCAGGAGTGTTCTGCACACTGAAGAGATTGTAGGCCTGTCCAGTGATTAGATAAATCATAAACTTCATGCATATTTTGATGTTATTGTCTGGCTCTTTTTTTCTTTAGACAAAATGGCAAGACAATCGAATGTCCACAAAGCAAGTAACTATCACAGTGACCCAGAGTATTCATCAAGTGGATAAAAATGGAAAGGTGAAAAAGTCTACAACCACATATGAGGTCATGAAGCCGGTGGAGTCCATCAAACAGGTGCCTACACAGAACTCTTGAACAAGGCTGGAGCCAGTTGAAGCCACTGGATGAACTGGGAATGTATTTGTGACCGGCAATGTGACAAGCACAAACTTTGTAAGATTTGACTTGTCAAAGTAGAAAACCACTCCTAATGTTTCACAAAACGGTTCCCATTGTAAAAAAAAAAAAAAAATGTAAAATGTATTTTGAAGCTATTGCAGTATTTTTCTGTACTTGGAAGCCAAACATGTAAAGACTGGTTTATATTTAAAACTTGTAATTTTTTCTTAAATAGCTTCAAAGCATAAGAATTTAAATGTTATAATTTGTATATGTATAATTTTACAGTGTCTACATGGTATTTTACTATGGTGGTTAACATTCAGTAGCTGCTGTGGCTCAGGAGATTGGTTGCACTATACACAATGAAGCCTGAACAGACAGAAGATAAACAGAGTATTGTGCTTCTCTTGGTATAAAAAAAAAAAACTTTTTTTTAATTATACAATGTGTCTTTTTCCAATGCAGAAATAATTTACACAAATGAAAAACAAAAAACTGTACATATATATGACAGTATATTAAATATAAGGCAAGGATGAAAATATAAAAAGCAATCTGGCAATTGCGGACATTTGAAAGTAAAGAGAAAGTTTCATTAGATGATCTAAATCAGTTATGGCATCAATTCGGACATGACAGTGTATGGATCAATCTCTGCGGATCATAATAGGCCTTTCCAGCTCTATATGAGGGCTCCTCTTCTTCCATCCATTTGCTAATGCAGAAATCAGGAAAGAAGAACTTTATCTCTTTGTGTGCTGACTCCACAGAATCTGTGTTCAGAAAAAAGACAATTCATTCATTTACTACTGTTTAAAAACATCTCTTCTGAATAACATTTAACAATAACATTTCATGAATAATGTAATCCATATACTGGTACTACCTGAGCCATGGGTCGTGTTTCTTGTGTCTGTGAGGCCAAACTGACCCCTGATTGTGTCAGGGGAGGTGTGTCTGGCCCTGAATACTTTGGTTGGCCCCATCATTTCTCTCCAGTGATGTATGGCATCATCTCGAGCTAAAACATATGCCCGCATTGGACCACTGTAGAAGACAGATCATCTGTGAACAATCACTAACCATATTATTCATTATACTGCTTTATGGTTACCATTTGTGATGAAAGACAACTTTAAAATTAATGCATTATCTAGGTAAACCCAAGTGGTGCAGCTCAGAGCTGTGATTCTAATTAGACCAACAGGTTGCTGTAGCAACTGCATCTCCACTGCTGGGTTGAAAGAATAACAATCATGTGATTGCTAAAACCTCAAAGGGATCTGCTGTATGTGGAACTGCTGAAAGCTTTTGTGAGCTGACTGTAATTTTCTATAGCATTGAGTGTGCCAGCTTGAGGACTTCTGCTGTGCATGTGTGTGATGGCTAGGCCCTTACCTTGACATAAACTCAACCAGTCGCTGATAGAAGAATCTCCCTGAATAAGTCAAATTGATAACATTTTATTTGTTGTTTGAACATATGTGTTTTTCTGGTGTGTTACTGGAGTGTTCTCATACCTGAATGTTCAGCATAAAACATCTCGGAGTTCTCCTTTTTCCAAATAAGATCTTTGCGCCTGACAATGATAAAGTTATTTTCCAATATTTTTTCATGAAGGGTCTGGAAGGCAGTGCATAAAGTGAAAAAACAAACAAACAAGGAAACCACATAGTAAAATAAAGCATAAAGTGTTTGATGTAGCTCGTGAAGGTGGGGCTAAGCCCGGAGTTATGTAATGTTGATATACAGTAATTAGTAAACAAACCTCTAAGATTAGAGGATGAGCAAAAGCATCGGGCTTGATGACCGCCAGGGTGAGCTGCAGGACTCTGGACAGTCGAGACGCAGTTATAAACATCTGAATGAGAACACCATCTTTAAAATGGAATAAAGCTACTTACATTACTAACATGATATAAATAACTTAAAAGCAACATTTTCACATGACAAGGACTTAGAGTTTACTAACCTTGTCAAAAAATCCTTTGCAGAAGTAATTCAGTGTCACCACGCAAAAGATTTAGCGTCACTTAAAGAAGGCGCATCAAAGTCTGTAATAAAGATTGCACTTTAAACATCGCGCTGTGATATTTAATCAAAGAAAAGATTAGCAAATATGTTTTTATCAGGTGAATGAACGTCTTACCCATTCTGTCAGATCGGCCCGTCATCTAATACTGTCCCTGGAAACACTTGCTCCGTTTTGAGTTCCTGGGCCATGAACTGCACTAACTGGTTGGGTGGTGTATATTTCAAGATTTATTCAAACAAACAAACAAAACAGAGGAAAGGCATACGTAGTGTTGACTGTGAAAGCTGTTTCTTATTATTCTCTGGCTTTAGCCAGGTATTTTTTTTAATGCGTGCATTTTTCAAGGGCCTCGGTAAGATTTTTATCGTAGAAGTTTTTTTTTTTTTTTTTTTTTATAGTTTTTATAATTTACTCTTCCTAGAATTTAAATTAACCTGGCAATTTCCCAACACATTTTTTCATACATTTATTACTTAATAACTAGGACTTCTTATTAGTGATATTTCATAAATGATAGAAGCATTGGCTAACATGATTACACAGTTATTCCAACTATTTAAAATGATGACCACACCCTTGTAAAAAGATGTGGATAGGACAGGAGAGAGAACAGTAGTAGGCCTAGTACTGGTGTTCCACCTGCCTGTGTCATGTGACCAGAGTCAAACCACAGCTGTTGCCTCCCATGAGGCCCAAATAGTGTAGAGACATTTTGGGTGGGGGTAATATTCAAATGATATAGCAGAAGTTCTGTCTGGAACTTAACTTTGAATTTTTAGATTGTATGATATTTAAATTACATCTGAAAACACCGCCAGGCCTACTAGAGGTCTAGACTGAAGTCTAGATTGAGAAATCATGTATATAGGTTGATATACTGCAAAAGAGGGAATTCAAGAAACAATTCTGTTCTACATTTTGTTCATTTATAAAAAAAAATTCCATGTAAATGTTTAATTAAAACTTTAGACTTTACAGAGACAATTACAATTAAACTAAATTGAGACTAATAATAATGATCTAAATGACATGGCATAACATAAAACCTATAACAGCCTTCTAGACACACCACTGCGCTTATACTTGTGTGTGCATTGTGCTGGTAAAAGGCTGCTAGGAGAAGTGTTTGAAAGTAGGGCAGCAGCAGTAACAGTGCTGGGCTGATTCAGCTCCTGCTCTGTGCATAGACCTCACGGCTGCTGTATGTGGGGCTCTGCTGCAGTTGTCACTCCCTTTTGGTCGCAGCGGGCAGCTGACTGACGACCCCCACAGGCTCCTGTATATTCATTCATGAATCAAGAGCGACAGTGGGCTAAAATGCTTATGAAAGCATGCTTCACATACTATAGCAACATGAGATACTTTCATTTTTTATCTAACATTTCTGACAAAATATTCAATTTTATATCTTTAAAACTAGTCTAGTCTAGACAGTAATAAACAAATCAGGCAAGTTCAAACTTGCTTTTATAACATGTGTCTTATCTGAGAATAGTAGAAAAATTATTATCCACAACAACATAAATAAAAGAAACCTGCCTCTGTATTTATCACTTGTGCTGTGACACTGGGTGACCTGGTGATGAGGTGAGCAGAACACTGTGTCTTTCATGTTCTACTGTATTGACTTGAGGTGAGAAAAGTAGAGGGATGAGTTTCCTGTTCTAGCACCTTTTTGCTCTTTACTAACAGATCAACCTCTTTAGACTTTTGAAGTAAACTTTTGGCTTCCACACCTCCACCTTTCACACATCTGTGGCTTTTTGACAGTTTAACTAACATTTGTAGTCAAAAAGTGCAAATGAAAATACAATGATTCTGGGAAGAAAGAAAAAACAGATATATGCCAGGTCTCACATTGAACAATATTTCTTTAATTATTTTTATCTGAGAATGTGTAATAATGACAAAAAAACCAAAAACAAAAAAACATTAAATTACATCTATTAAGGATTTGTTTGTGCATCCTGATCCTATCTCTTTTTCATCTCTGTAATAATTATGGTGGAAATGGCCAAATGTCATGGTTGAGGTTCAAGTATTGCATATAATGTGAATACACTGTAACATTTAAGTGTGGAAATATGATATTCTTTGTATTCTTATTGTTTTTACTTTTAATCTGCTTTTTTTGCTCCTTATGGTATACACTTTTCCCTTGATATGCAAATCATGTCTTAGCTTTAGTCTTTCATTTGTTGTACTTAGTATCTTCCATCACTGACCTCAAAACATCCGCTCTTTGTGTGATGCACAGGAATGAGATGCCCTCACCTCACTGTCACCTGTTCTCTGTTTTAGGCTAAATGCTGGTGACCTTTGACCTTCGAGCTCCATTGCTTCGCCAGCACACGGGAGCTGGCTTCCTGCAGCAGCTGTGTCAACCTCAGCCCTGGCAACTGCTGTGCCCATGCAAGGACACAGACTGGCATAAAGACATTCCTCCTAATGAGTCAGCATCACATCTCTAAGTGCTCTAATGTATCCTTTGTTTTACACTGCATGGACATCACGTGAAGTATTTAGCTGCTCTAACCTTGTTCAGTAGGTTCATGGCATGGCTGGAAAGTGGCCACATCTGCCTTGGGGCTAACTGATGGAGATGTGGAGTCAACAGTTTCACATAGTCATACTGAAACACATTCATAATAACCCAAGGTTGCACAAGGACATAATAAAACTTGCCACTCCATAAGAATGTATATGAAGTGCATGTTGTTAATTGAAGTCTCTAAATGACCACAAGTGTTTGGTACATAGTATATTTTACTAGTAATCGGCGCAGCCGTGGAGGTACCATCATAATAAAAAGAAAAAAGTCATAAGTACTGTAAGTACTGACATAATTTAAGTAACAGTATGTATGTATGTATGTATGTATGTATGTATGTATGTGTGTGTGTGTGTATATATATATATATATATATATATATATATATATATATATATATATATATACACACATATTGTTTTTTCTCAGAACTGTTCATAATACCAGTAACTGTTATTTACCAAACTCAAAAGATTGGATATGATCCTGTTGATCTTGGATTAAGGGAAGTCTTCAATGTCTGTGGAGAATTGTTAGCTTTTGCTAAGGAAGTGAGCAGTGTTGTGACCTCCCAGACGCTGTGGGTATGACAGAAGGGAACAAAGTCATTAGCAAATCAGAGCCCGCTATGGGAACACCAGACTAAAATAAACTCATGGCCCAATTTGTAGACAACAGCAGTGGCAGTCAGAGTTCAGAACTTGTGTGTGATTTCACCAAATGTGTCTTGAATGACAAACAAGTCATTTTCACCCAGGGCTGGGACTAATGGCCTACAGGCCACATGTTCTGCATTTTTCGTATATGACATCGTAACTAAAAACAGAGAGTTTGTTAAAAAATAAACATTTGTGATGATGTTAAATGAAAAAAAATGACATGATTAGTTTGGATACTTTGATGGATGTGTTTGTTTGAAAACCACTGGCATTGCCGTGCCTAACCGCCAGTATGTGCCAGTGATCAGCTGTCCAGTTAAGAGGAACACACGGATTACAATGTGTCTTAACCATTGTGAGCGACCAAAAGAATTCACTCAACAACAAAAGCCATCTGATATTCCCAGTACCCAGATATATACTTGATGAGGCCTTGGCACATAGCTGACATTATTGGAAATGTTGCATTTGTGATACACCCTGGCTGTGAGCCATGGGAAATATTGAACAACTGTCGAATTTAGATGACATCCTGTGGCAAGACAAGAAAAAACGGGAGCTACAAAGATGCAATGGGTGCTATTTGTGGACAGCGAGTGCCTCCAAAATAGCGAGAGCATTGGGTTTCAATATAAGCCTCCTCTCTCTGAGCTGCAGCTTTCTGTGAATGAGGCCCGGGTTCCTATCACACCCAGCCCTGAGCTGATTTTAGAACACAGGTGTTGACCTTAGTGGAGCAGCTTGTGCTTGCACCAAAGGAAAATGAACCCTCTTTGCCTCTCCAGTATTACCAATCACTGTATGGATCAGGGCTGCACAGTATTATAAACAAGATATACACGACGATGTAAGACAATATCTGCATGAATGTAAATATTTGGTTATTAAGATGAAGGCTATAGGCCTTAGCTGAATAAGAGCAGTTTAATTGAAACATATGAGGAGCTGAAGAATAAATCAGCACCAAAATTAAAAGGCAATGTATAATAAAAGGTGTAGCAATTAAGCAAAGAGGGCACTTTTAATTGATGGAATAATTTTTAACATAGCCCTCCCACCATCCAATCCTCATCTTCTCTGTTGTTGTGAAGTGCCGCAGTGGTGAGATACTCACCTTGAGAATTTATTGCTGGCTCTGTAGTGCCACGAGAACTCATATAACTTATTCATACCTGTCACATATCACTGGTTGTTCTTATATCATGTTTTGCATTGTCACACTTACATATAGCACATTTCAAGCAAAGAATAAATGTGGCTGATGAAGTTTCAACTACTTTACTGTGAAACATGACTAATGTATTTTTGCCAGTCTGGACAAGTGGATATTTGCCATTTTACACGAGGCTATAGTAATATGAATGTGAAGACTTTTTTTCATTAATACTATCGCTTGCCTCCCTTGCCTTTTTTCTATTCCAGAAGAAGAGCATTGACATTGGGTGTAAAATGGAGGCCATGGAGGCTGGTACGGGGTATGTTGGAGGAGCAGTAGGAGGGTGTAGGGTGTCTCGAGCCCAGTGCGAACAGCTGAGAGGTGTGATTTCACAGGCTGGCTCCCCCCTGTCAGGGTCCTGATTGGGCCGGACAGGAGGCGCAGGAGAGGCCCGGGGCTTCTAAAGGACACCAACAGGTGGGAGGCCTCTTCGGAGGGGGGTGCTCCTGGCCGCCATAGAAAAGGGCCGGGGACCAGGCCTGCTGTCCACACAAGCGCCCCAGCAGTTTAGGGGAGGCATCACGCTGGAGCTTCCAAAGAGGAGTGGGAGGTTGGAGGGATAGTGTGTTTGGGGTTTGGGTCATGTTTAGGGATAAAAAGAGCCTATTTTTGAATGGTAGTTAACCAGATCTTTGTATGGACTGGCAGTGCTTTTTTGTGCTTTACAGGGATATGTACTGAAGGTGTGTTACCTCTGTGTCAGTGCTCTTAGCATTCAAACTAGTGGCATTGTTTGTAAATTGTTATATT